TGTTTCTTGTTTCTAGCGTACCGTGCGAAGGTGCTGCTGGGATCTGCGGCCGCGGGGGAGAGCACGGGCGGGGGTCGGGCGGGTGAAGCGGGGGCCGGAGCGGCCCCTTTGCGGCCTCGGCGTAGCTGCTCTTCGAGGCGTAGCGTGGGCCGCAAGCCCTGGAGCAGAGCGAGCGGCGCAGCCAAAAACCGAACTCTTCTGGGGTTGCTGCATGGCACGGGGGAGCTGCCGTTTCTCGTGCTGTACAGCCTGGGAGCCGGGGCAGTTTTTAAAGCAAAAGAAGCAGCTGCAGAACTGCCCGAAGTACAAGACATGGACAGCCATCGACTTTTCCTCTACCGCGTGCGGCAGCTCACAGTAAACGGGATGGCAGGCGGTGGGGTGCAGCGGTGTGAAAGGCTTCACAGCCGTTCTCGCAGTATGCGTGAACTCCAGTGCTAGACTGTGTAGACAATTTACATCTTGGAGTCCTTGAGGCTAACTAGTGTTCTAATAAAGTTTTCAAAAGACTTGGTTTGCTTTTGCTTCTGTTCTTCACAGATCCCATGGGGGGGGGCATGTAAAACCACAAACCAACTTTAAAGTTTGCACCTGGGCACCCAGCAGACCATTTCTGCTATTACCAGTCACTTTAAGGGAACCAGAGCATCTTAAACTGTGTGCTGCAGCTGAGCTTAGCCCTGCTCCCCTCAATTCTTGCTGGGTGTGTTGGAGCACCTGAACCCATGCTGGTAACGGAAGGATCTAGGCAGGTTCAAGAGCGAGCTGAGCTCTTTGAATGATTAAACAGTGCAGGTGTGTATGTTAGACAATCAAAATACCATTGTAGCCACAGAGATTGTTAAAAAAATTTATTAACGGGAATGAAACAAAAGCTGTAAACAAGAGCCAGCAGAAATGAGAAGTTGCGTGTAATGCCGAGTCCTCTGGCTTGTTTGAATGCACTGAACAATTAATTCTTCATCGCTTGGTGGCAGTAAAGGCCCATGAAAGAAGATGCCAAATAACAGTCTGAGGAGGAGCTTTAGGGCGAGGTCAGCGTGCAGGCACTGGGAGACCCGTGTACGGAGGGGACTGGGAGAGATGGGGGCTGAGTCTGGCCTAAGGTTTAGGTCTAATACCCCAAATGCAGTTGTGATGTCTCTGCTGCAGTAGAGTTGGCTCCCAACAGGCATGTTTAAAGTACTCCACAGGGTAGCGTTTACATCTTATTTCAGTTTTTAAATTGGTTTTGGTCCCACACTGAAGAAGTTAAGAGTTGGAAGCTTTTTCTTCAAGGCGGCAAGGTGCAAGGCTCCCCTGCCCTGCGAGGAAGGGAGAAGGCGGCAACCTGATGGGAGCATTAAGAATACTGCTGGTTATTTTTGCATTCGGGGAGACTCCCTGCAGCTTCTGGGGTAGCGCGTCTGGGCGGCGACGGGCAGCTCGGGACGGGGGCTGCTGCTGCACTGCTAAGGGCAGGCTGAGAAAACGCGGTGCCAAAGGCAGACTTGGGGGCACAGATCAGGTATTGGGGCTGTTTGAGCTGCTCTGTGCCTCTCTGCCGGGCTGGCCCTTGCCTGCACGGCTGGGGTGCAAAAACACTGCTACTGAGCAGGCTCAGGACTAGGGAAAATCCCGCTCCCTTTTATTCTCAACCTCAGCCGGCAAGTGTGTGCTACACAGCCCAGAACGAGAATGGAGGCGGCTGTAAGATAAGCAGCTTCACGTAGGAGACACCAGTCAAGTAGCAGCCACGGGAACACAGCGAAGCTCACCAAAGCAGCGTGAAACAGCGAGGTTTACAGATTCCTGCCCGCTTCTTGGCGGTGCGTGAATAACTTGCAGAGCTTTCCCTGTGTTCTGTTGCTACTTGCAAACAAATCCTAAGAGAGCGCTTGGAGCAGGCATTGCCGCCTTTTAGAGCGGGCAAAGGTGACGAGAGGTCTTCCAGTTATTTCAGAGAAAGATTCGGCTGAGGAATGGATGGCTGCTGCTCCGGCGGGAGCAGCTGGCCGTCCCCTTGGGTCTGTGGGGAGCGCTGCTGCTGAGGTGGGA